TTTTTGGATTGTTTGAAATAGTTTTAGAAGGAATGGTACCAGCTCCTCCTTGTGTGTCTGGTAGAATTCGGCTGTGAACCCGTCTGGACCTGGGCTTTTTTTGTGAGGTAGGCTCTTAATTGCTGCCTCAACTTCAGACCTTGTTATTGGTCTATTCATTGTTTCAGCTTCCTCCTGGTTTAGGCTTGGGAGGACACAGGAGTCCAGGAATTTATCCATTTCTTCCAGGTTTACTAGTTTATGTGCATAGAGTTGTTTGTAATATTCTCTGATGATGGTTTGAATTTCTGTGGAATCTGTGGTGATTTCCCCTTTATCATTTTTTATTGCATCTATTTGGTTGTTCTCTCTTTTCTTTTTAATCAATCTGGCTAGTGGTCTGTCTATTTTGTTGATCTTTTCAAAAAACCAGCTCTTGGATTTATTGATTTTTTGAAGGGTTTTTCGTGTCTCAATCTCCTTCAGCTCAGCTCTGATCTTAGTAATTTCTTGTCTTCTGCTGGGTTTTGAGTTTTTTTGATCTTGCTCCTCTAGCTCTTTCAATTTTGACGATAGGGTGTCAATTTTGGATCTCTCCATTCTCCTCATATGGGCACTTATTGCTATATACTTTCCTCTAGAGACTGCTTTAAATGTGTCCCAGAGGTTCTGGCACGTTGTGTCTTCATTCTCATTGGTTTCGAAGAACTTCTTTATTTCTGCCTTCATTTTGTTGTTTACCCAGTCAACATTCAAGAGCCAGTTGTTCAGTTTCCATGAAGCTGTGCGGTTCTGGGTCAGTTTCTGAATTCTGAGTTCTAACTTGATTGCACTATGGTCTGAGAGGCTGTTTGTTATGATTTCAGTTGTTTTGCATTTGTTGAGCAGTGCTTTACTTCCAACTATGTGGTCAATTTTAGAGTAGGTGTGATGTGGTGCTGAGAAGAATGTGTATTCTGTGGATTTGGGGTGGAGAGTTCTGTATATGTCCACCAGGTTTGCTTGCTCCAGGTCTGAGTTCAAGCCCTGGGTATCCTTGTTGATTTTCTGTCTGGTTGATCTGTCTAGTATTGACAGTGGAGTGTTAAAGTCTCCCACTATTATTGTGTGGGAGTCTAAGTCCTTCTGTAAGTCATTAAGAACTTGCCTTATGTATCTGGGTGCTCCTGTGTTGGGTCCATATATGTTTAGGATCGTTAGCTCTTCTTGTTGTATCGATCCTTTTACCATTATGTAATGGCCTTCTTTGTCTCTTTTGATCTTTGTTGCTTTAAAGTCTATTTTATCAGAGATGAGAATTGCAATTCCTGCTTTTTTTTTTTTTTTTTTTTTTTTTTTTTTTTTTTTTTGTTTGCTTTCCATTAGCTTGGTAAATCTTCCTCCATCCCTTTATTTTGAGCCTTTGTGTATCCTTGCATGTGAGATGGGTTTCCTGGATACAGCACACTGATGGGTTTTGGATTTTTATCCAATTTGCCAGTCTGTGTCTTTTGATTGGTGCATTTAGTCCATTTACATTTAGGGTTAATATTGTTATGTGTGAATTTGATACTGCCATTTTGATGCTAAGTGGCTGTTTTGCCTGTTAGTTGTTGTAGATTCTTCATTATGTTGAAGCTCTTTAGCATTCAGTGTGATTTTGGAATGGCTGGTACTGATTGATCCTTTCTATGTGTAGTGCCTCTTTTAGGAGCTCTTGTAAAGCAGGCCTGGTGGTGACAAAATGTCTGAGTACTTGCTTGTTCGCAAAGGATTTTATTCTTCCTTCACTTCTGAAGCTCAGTTTGGCTGGATATGAAATTCTGGGTTGAAAGTTCTTTTCTTTAAGAATGTTGAATATTGGCCCCCACTCTCTTCTGGCTTGTAGTGTTTCTGCCGAGAGATCTGCTGTGAGTCTGATGGGCTTCCCTTTGTGGGTGACCCGACCTTTCTCTCTGGCTGCCCTTAGTATTCTCTCCTTTATTTCAACCCTGTTGAATCTGACGATTATGTGCCTTGGGGTTGCTCTTCTTGCGGAATATCTTTGTGGTGTTCTCTGTATTTCCTGCAATTGAGTGTTGGCTTGTCTTGCTAGGTGGGGGAAATTTTCCTGGATGATGTCCTGAAGAGTATTTTCCAGCTTGGATTCATTCTCTTCGTCCCCTTCTGGTACACCTATCAAACGTAGGTTAGGTCTTTTCACATAGTCCCACATTTCTTGGAGACTTTGTTCATTCCTTTTTGCGCTTTTTTCTCTTATCTTGGTTTCTCGTTTTATTTCATTGAGTTGGTCTTCGACTTCAGATATTCTTTCTTCTGCTTGGTCAATTCGGCTATTGAAACTTGCGTTTGCTTCGCGAAGTTCTCGTATTGTGTTTTTCAGCTCCTTTAATTCATTCATATTCCTCTCTAAGGTATCCATTCTTGTTATCATTTCCTCGAATCTTTTTTCAAATCTTTTTTCAAGGTTCTTAGTTTCTTTGCATTGATTTAATACATGATCTTTTAGCTCACAAAAGTTTCTCATTATCCATCTTCTGAAGTCTAATTCCGTCATTTCGTCACAGTCATTCTCCGTCCAGCTTTGTTCCCTTGCTGGTGAGGAGTTTTGGTCCTTTCTAGGAGGCGATGTGTTCTGGTTTCGGGTGTTTTCCTCCTTTTTGCGCTGGTTTCTTCCCATCTTTGTGGATTTGTCCGCTGGTCGTCTGCGTAGTTGCTGACTTTTCGTTTGGGTCTCTGAGTGGACACCCAGAATGTTGATGATGAAGTATTTCTGTTGCTTGGTTTTCCTTCTACCAGTCTAGCCCCTTCGCTGTACGACTGTTGAGGTCCACTCCAGACCCTGCTTGTCTGGGGTGCACCTCTAGTAGCCGTGGCACAGCGAGGGATGCTACCAGTTTCTTTTTCTGCTCTCTTTGTCCCAGGATGATGCCTGCCTAATGACAGTCTTTTGGATATAGAGGCGTCAGGGAGCTGCTTGAGGAGACAGTTTGTACTTTATAGGGGTTTAATTTCTGAGCTGTGCACTCTGTTGTTCATTCAGGGCTGTTAGGCTGCTATGTTTGATTCTGCTGCAACACAGCTCATGAAACAACCCTTTTTTTTTTTTCTCAAATGCTCTGTGTTGAGGGGTTTGGGCTTTATTTTTGGATGTCCGATCAGGTGTCCTGCCCAGCTAGAAGGCAGACTAGCCACTGTTTGGCTGCCGAGGCTCCGCCCTGCTGTTGTGTGATTCGCGCTGTTCCTGCCGGCTCTGCTGTGGTCTCCGCCACGCCCTGCGGCGGAGTCTCTTCGTTGTAGCGTGTTGCCTCAGCAACGGCAGGCTGCGTCAGCAGTGGGCGTGTATCTCAGTAGGGACGGGTTGCCTCGGCAACGGCTGGCTGCGTCAGCAGTGGGCGTGTATCTCAGTTGGGGCAGGTTGCCTCCGTAGTGGTGGACGCCCCTCCCCCACAGAGCGTCTCGGACCGTCTGCCCGGGATAGTTTGAAATCGCGGTTTTGTTTGTCCCACTGGGTATCCCAAACGATCTGTACCTGCAATCCCCTGGGCTGGGCTACTGTGCAAGTCTCGTTCAGTCTCAAGTCCAGCCCTCTCAAGTCTCAGGCTGCCGGTTCAACAAGGCACCCGGACAAGCGCGCCCTGTGGGGATTGCTGGGTAGGGCCGGCCGCCGCCGCCCTGGCTGCCGGCTTCGCCAGGCAGACCTACTGCCTGGCGTCCCGTGTCTTTTTATACTTGGGAGTTTCCCCGTTCTGTGGGCAACAAAGATCAGTCTGGAAATGCAGCACTGACTCACCGTTTGCGGATTCAACGCGGGCTCCAATCCTGGGTTTTTCTCACAGCGCCATCTTGAGTCCCCTCCAGCACATTTATTTTTTGCTCAAATTTTAATCTGTATTTTATTTGCTTTTTATTTATTTGTCTGTTTTTCTTTTGTCTTTTCACTTTGGCACTCTATGCATGTTTTATGTGTGTGTGTTTTTTAAAAATATTTCTCTAATTCTGGGTATAAACGTATATTTCTCTATTAGTACTTTTCCAGAGCTCCTACAACCACAATTTTTAATATCTACTAGTATATTTAGTAAGTACATTTCTTAATAAGGTTTTTTTCTCTCTCTTTTTTTTTTTTTTTTTGAGACGGAGTTTCACTCTTGTTACCCAGGCTGGAGTGCCATGGCGCGATCTCGGCTCACCGCAATCTCCGCCTCCTGGGTTCAGGCAATTCTCCTGCCTCAGCCTCCCGAGTAGCTGGGATTACAGGCACGCGCCACCATGCCCAGCTAATTTTTTGTATTTTTAGTAGAGACGGGGTTTCACCATGTTGAATAGGTTGGTCTCGATCTCTTGAGCTCGTGATCCACCCAACTCGGCCTCCCAAAGTGCTGGGATTACAGGCTTGAGACACCGCGCCCGGCGGGATTTTTTTCTCTTTTCTATCTTTCTCTGTATGTCATTTTTGCTTCGTCTGTTAGAATACTTCTGTACCGATGCCTGGAGCTGCCCTCCCTACCACAGCCAACACACCTGGCTGTGGACAGTGGCCAGAACGCACGCTCGCTCAAACACTCCTCACTGTATTGTGCCTAGCTTGCCCTTGGCTGGTATGGGAATTGGGCTGGTAGCATGAGCTGAGCTACCAGAACTTTCTTTCACGTAAGAAATTTATCCATCCTTCTTTTGATGCCATTCATGTGTTCGTTATTTAAATCAGTCTTTCAAAATTTTATTTTTCTCTTGATTATTTACTTATATTTTTACACTTGTTTCTTTACACAGTTCTTTATCATCTTAGGTACATAAAAGTCAGAGCATTTTTATATTCATGTTTAGACAATTGTTAAGTTTTTAAAATATGCCACCTATGGAAATAATCAGCATTGTTGCTTGGAATTGTAGAGGGAGAAACAGTTGCAGGCAAGTCTTTGCTTGTGTCATTTCTAGTTTATGTAAAAATGAAAGGTCAATTGAAAAAAAACTTATTTATTATTTAAAGACAGCCCATAAAAATATTGCTAATTATTTCTGTATTTTGTTACCCACAGGGAAACTCCATTATTAATGATTGGAGATGTATTTAATTCATCGGAACTTGAGAGAATAGAAGGTAAGTGAATGCCCAAGGGCAGCTGGGTTAGTCCACACCAGTATGCATGTTTTGATTTTGCTCTATGGATACATAGACCAGCTGTCACTATCATTTTGGAAGAAAAGGAAGGAAGGAACAATTGATCCTAGGCAGCAGAGAGAAACAGCAGGCCAAGGTAAGTGCTCTATAATGTTCCCTTTAATGTATATTCAATTAGATATGCATTTTGATACTGAGAGGCATTTAAGTTGCTTTTTTCCTACAAGTTGCTTTTATGAACGTTGTCATATGTATCTGTTTGCATAAGAGTAATTCTAGGGTATATCCCCTGGGAATATAAATTTTGGGACATTACTAAGGGAATCTTCAACCTTACTGGGCATTGCCGAATTTTAACCCAAAATCACCGAGTCTGTAACATTTTCTATTTATATGTTGATAGTAAATGGGAATCCCCTTTGCTTTACATTTCATTAGAAATTTGTATTGTCAGGCTTTTTATTTAAAGTTAGGATTGTACGTATATAATGGCATCACATAATGCTTTTAATTTAAACCTTTCTGATTATCATTGAGATTGATTATCCTTTTATTTGTTTTCCGACTGTTGAGCTGATCTCTTCTGTAAACTTTCTGTCAACTAAAAAATTTTTTCAGTTGGGTTATTGATTTTTTTTTAAATTTGTACATATTTAATGTATATCTTTGGCATTAATATTTTTGGTTACATAGGTTGGAAATATTTTTGTAGTCTTTCTAAACTAATATATTTTTTAATAATTTTTTTTTCACAAAAATATTTTAAATTATAATGTAGTCATATTTATTAATTATCCTTTATATAATTTTGAAACCATTTTGAATTTTTCTAGCACATTCTTTCCTGTACATAGATCATAACTACATCCTAAATTGTAAATATTTAATGTGAAGATTTTCATTTTTAACAATTTAATTCACTTTAAGGTGTAATTTTGATCTTTATTAGGAATCTAATGTGTTGAAAGATTGTCATTCAGTGTCTCTCGTCTCTACTAATTAATGTGTCCTTTATCATAAATTATACTTCTATTTTTGCATTAGTGTCTTTCTGTTCTTTTCATTTGCCTTTAATATTTTCTTTATAATTTCCCACTCACTTTCCCCAGTGTTTTAATTCAGAAGTCATGAAGAACTAACCTGGTATATTTTAAATAAGCATAATATGTTGGTTAATAAATAACTATAAAATAACTTGTGGATAAAACTTATCTAGGATTGATTTATTGTTGTACTATTTTCTTCACTTTGCAATATTTTTATGTAAATTAATTGTAAAGCATATTTAGAAAGTTAACACCTGGGAATTGACCATTACTCTCAGGAACCACACTAATCCCACTCTATTACATCTAGATGCCTGCTGTAGCATAATTTATAATTTCGCTTCACTTCCCAGAGTGGTTTACTCTTCACAATTGTGTGTGTATCATACCCTGATATTTTAAAGTACTTTATTTTCATGTCAAAGCATTTATAAACACTGTAATATTATCACTTTCATTAATTCACTTTCTGTTGTTCAGTTTTGTGTTTACTTTCCTTCAGTACTGATATTTTTAACTTCCAGGATTTCTACATAAATATTTTAGAATTTGTCTTTATATTAGTCTTCAGTTTCACCATATGTTGTTTCATAATTTATTGCTTTTATAAGTAAAGTTTGGCTTTCAGTTGTTACTTTGAATATTTTTATCACACTTATTTAAAGACTTTGAAAGGCTTTAATCTTCTATGCTTATCATTTTTATACCTTAAACTATTTCTATTACATGTATTTAATTGCTTTTCTCTTAATCGGGAGAGTAATAGCAAGTCAGAGAGAAACATTTTACTTTTTCATAATGCCTAATAGGAGCCAGAAAAGTGGTGACTCTCTCACTTTGGCCCATAAAGATTCCATTGAAAATTTAAATAAGAAGAAAACGTTCTTGACAATTAAATTTTTTGATACCATTAGGGTAATAAATACTCATAAATTCTGAGGTATTTATTAATACATATTATCTAATATGAATGCCTTAGAAATTAGAAAAACAAGGAGCATATTTGTGATATACAATTGCAAGCATTCATAGCAAATTAAAATTTATTACTGAATCTCACTAAATAAAGATTTATAAGTGGTACAATTTGTTGCATTAAACATTGTAAATAAACTGTAAACTGTCTGTACTAGCATTTTTAGTTTATAGTTCAATATTATGTAAATTTATTATTTTTTAGTTTTTAAAACCTGCTTATTTCTCAGAAAATATCGCACACTGTATTGGATTAGTTTTATTAGAAACCTCAATTTTAAGACACATAATTTAGTAAACACAAATGACTCCGCTAGGAAAATTAACTTTATCAAAATGATGGTTTGGTGGTACATAAATTTCTTCACTCTTTGAGTGCAATGTCCATTTTGTTGACTTTGCTATTAACATAATTCTTCATTATCCATAACACTGCTTGGCCTATGTAAAACAAATGACATATTCTGCTACCTCACCATCATGAATAATGTCAGCCATGAAGTCTTCTGAATGGCAACTTTTAACTTTGTTAGGCAAATTAAATAGGATAAGGCTGTGTAGCCAATGTATCCAGCAGTGAACGACAATGATTTCTACCTTGGTTGGGTGACGTGGCTTAAAAGTTTTTTTATTCCATAAAATTGTTATTTTCTACATTATAAAAATGTTTTTAATTGAAGTCTTAGCCTGAACTTTTTATACATATCAGAATAGTAAATATACATAAGACTTCCACTTAAAGGTGGCAGATTAAACACATTCACTTAGTTTCACCTGACTCAAATTCTGATGTAATGAACATAATTTTTTAAATGCATAATCAGAAGTTTGGCCAGAAGTCAAAACATTGTTATGGTTTAAGTAAGAGAAGCTTCAGAAAATACTGGAGAAAAAGAGAAGTTTTGAAGTTGTTAGAGGAAAGAAAATCATGTTTTATGTGTGTGGGGGGGCAGAATTAAGGTTTTGGATGGTAATACTGTATCCATGAGAAAAACAAGTTCCAAAATTGCTAATGAGAATTCTATTAAACATGCTATTTGGCTACTTCAATTTACTTCTGCAGTAGAAGAGACAAACTCCTGTAGCATTAAAACTTTTTTTTCTGAATTTAAAATCAGTGTATGATTTATAATCAATATTTTCTGAAATTAAATCTTATAATTCAACAGTTTATATAAGTTGTCATGAGAATGTTTCTTAAGAATAAATACAAGTTAGTCAGACCTAAGGAAATACAGGAATGAATAAAAATCTGTATTACTCACACCATAGTGAATAAGCTCTGATAATATATCAGATTTGCATTGTAATTAGAAAGTTATGCTTTAATAGTTTTCATTTCCTGCTTGAACTGAGAACTGTGCCTTATTAGATTTAGCATAATAAATGGCCTTAACTTACTGTCAAGGAGATTTCCATATACATTATAGCTAAAATGTTAAAAATTTAAACCAACATATATACAATATAGGTAGATTTTCTTTTCTGAGAAATGTAAACAATGTCAGAATTTGTACACTTAATATTATATCTAGTATTATTTTATTGAAGGTATCTTAATTTACTTACAAAGACATGAAAATAATTGAGATAATCTTTTATCTGTTATACTGTCCATGAATAGAATTAGACTAATATGAAGATTTTAGAAAAGTCAACATTATCAAATCAAAAGAAGTTTGTTGGTAAATCATACATGAAATTTCTAGGTGACAGAAAACTAAAATTATTGATTTATTCATGTATTTTATATTTCTAGGATTTTTTGAATTATTCATTTATAATGTAGGGGCAATTTAATCAAAGCCTTCTAATGGTACTAGCATCTTAAAATACATGAGAAAATTCTGATCATTGTCCTAAGCTTCACAACACATATATTTAAACAAAAAGAATCAAGTACTCCAGAAAAATAAACCTTCATTAAGGCAGTGTGATTATTGAAAATTGATAGGCTAAGCTTTAACCTTTTGCCTAGTTACTTTGCCAGAAGCTTGGATGTTAATGAAACCAAGTCTAAAAGGTGAATGGAGAACAGCCAGAGAATTTATTAGCTCTTCAATTGACACATCAGTCTGTTCAAAGGCTAATTAGACCAATCTGTGAATGTATCAATCCCATAATTACTCAGACTAATTATATTAATCATCTAAAATATGTTCATGAGAAACTGCTAATGTATAACCTTGTGGTTTTGACATGACCTTAGCTCAATTAGGACACAGTGATCATGTATGATTTCCTACGTGTGGCTTTTGATAAGTAGATAGAATAAGATTAAAAAAAAAACAAATATAGCATTGGTAGCAGATATATAGCTGAAATAGAGTTAGTTAATAAGATTTAAAATATTTTCAGCTATTAGGACCTTGGACAAAATTGATCATTTTTGACACACCTTTAGAGACACTAAATGTATAGATCACTCAATATTTTTCATCAGAATATTATTTATTTTATTTTTGGTAGGTACATAGTGTGGCGTGTATGGGATACATGAGAAACTTTGATACTGGCATACAATGCATAATAATCACATCGGGTAAATGGGGTATCTGTCACCTCAAACATTTATCTATTTTCTCTGTGTGAATTACTCTATTTGTGTGTGTGTTCATATGTGCATGTATACCTGAGCAATCTATGTATGCAGATAGTATTAGCAGAAATATATATTAAACTCAGATTAATTCAGTAAATTTATTAAAATACCTACTATACACTAGGCATTAATCTTAGATGTTGGTGAACTGTAAGTAATAAAGAACCATCCTTTGCATTCTAGGAACATCAAGTTTGCTAGAGGACAGGAACAGATGAATGTGTAATAATGGTTACAAGTAAAAATACTTAAATATTTATTTCTGCTTACATCAATGAGACATGATGTGTTAATATCAAATGAATACTCATCACTGGGCTGAAGCTTCCTGTCTCCAGGCAGACAGTCAGGAAGGG